TACCTTAATCAAAGTATTATTAATAAAGTATTATTAATTAGTAATAAAGTAGAAAATGGAGGAAATTACTTTGATTAAGGTATTCATTCATCTTCCCTTCGAAACAAATCAATTTTGGAGACGAAAAACGGCAGGAATTAAGTTCAACACCTAATACATATATAGTATGCCGTGATATTCGGACAATTTTCCGAATACTTCTTCGAAGAAAAATCGACATTAATCTTTATTGCATTAATAATTTCCGAGCTTCTCTTTGCTTTTCTCACCTCCGCGGAGAACCACTGATTCGCATACTGAATGAACCCATTGTGCGCGGCCTGCTGAACTCATACGCCATTTGAATTCAACAGTGCGCTATTCACGAAATATTTGTGCGCGCGCGCGCGAAGGCTCCGGCTCTACAGAGGAAAGGGTGATTTTAAGAAATTTACCAAAAAATGACAAATATGACGTTCTTCTCCGTTTATCTGCCAGGGAAGCTGGCTGGCCGTAGTCCCGAATCCCTTTAGAATTGGAGTAGAACCGCTCGGCGTTGCGATGACATACAATGAGGGGAACCGTAATCGCGCACATGGTTTCGACGTAACTGGACTCTGCAATAATAAACAACAAAACCCATTTCCGGGCCCTACGAATCGATTGGTATGAGTTGAGAAAGATCGATGGGGACACAATAGTGTTACTTCGTTTAATCACGTAAGTCCCACCTCCTTGAACGTGATCCTTCAATTACCTAGGCGTGATTGGGTAATCGTGTATACTGGTATCATTATTTTATGAAAAACACACATCATAAGACAGGAAATATTTTATCATCGATGATATACGTGTCCGACAATTTCCTTGCGCGATACCGCAATAAATTGCAAGGACGCGGCGTGTCATCCGTGTAAAAGATTGTTTTAAATTGCAAATTTTCTGTATGTGCGCGCGATAGAAAGAATTTCGTATTTGAATATAATTGAAAGAGAATATGCAGTTAAAGATTAACAGGTTCATCGAGGTAGCCACTTCTTTTGGCAACTTATATTTATTTCTCTCTAACATTACAATATTGCAATATCGCTATACATAATATGACGTTAAATATAATTGAATTTTTTTTGGCTTGATCATAGCATCGTTTGCTCATTTTTTAACGAAATTCTCGACGATATCCGATGTAACGTATGAGGATTGATCGCGTGCAATAATGATATAAATAATGGAATCTTGTCCCTCTCGCTTTTATATCGCTAGGATAATTACACGAATTTTATTAACCTTTCTATTATACTTCTCGCGTAGAATTCTGCCATTCTTTATAACTAGAATTAAAATTAGAAGTTCTAATCTTGGTAATAGATGACAGTTGAAGTGGCTTTGTCGATCATTACAGTGCCTGTAAATAATTACAGTTTACGTATCTGTAAATATTTAATGTTACATATTTATAAATCCAGTCTACGATGTTCAACGATTTTTTATCTTTATATTTCTTCATTTTTTACAATTTTAATTTAGAATTGTGAAAGAAAAATGAAAAAATGTATAGTTCTAAATTATTTACACTATAATGATCGACAAGGCTATTTTAACTTTCGTCGGCTTGCAGATAGAATATGTGTGTTGGTGATATGTCGAACATTTTTTGTATTCGGTAGATCCATTACAGGATATCTATTTTATGCTGGTATTCATAGTTCTATTTTAAGATCGTCTAAGTAAGTCTTGAGATGCTAATATGACTCTGATTGGTTTAAAGACATCTTAAGACTGCAGTATTTAAAACAATCTTAAATATAAGAATTGACTATAAATACTTGTCTTAATCCTGTATTACATTTATTTTAATTATTTATATTACATTTTAATTATTTTTAATATATCATCTATGGAACACGAGCTTAATACTTCGCTACGGTGTTTCTTTAAGTACCATGTGTAATAAAATGACGTATGTATGTATCAGTGGATAAAACATGTATAGAATATTCTTATTATAAAAATAAAAAAAGTGTGCTACGAAAGATATAAAAATATAAAAATTGTAAAAGGAATTAGAGAATTAGCGAAGTTAAAAGCTAGAGAAGATAAACAATTATAAATCGAAATTAGACCGACAAAAATAAAACAATTAATAAAAATAATCCTACTTTCGGTCAAAGCGGATCTTAGTGCTTAATAATACTAAATGCAAATTTATGCAAATATATTATTTCGGTTTTATAAAGATAGCATCTTAATTGCGCTCAAAGCGATGTTTTAACTGACGTAGAAATCATCCTCTTTACAACTACTAATGGCCTCTCCACTTATGGCACTAATAATAATCTCATCGCTTTTGACAATATTAACCAGAATAAGTTGCGAATGTATATATATATGTATGCAATATGTAAATACGCGTATCCATTTCCTATAAATCAAAGTAAAACTCACGACTATTGCACGAGTATAAAGCACCAATCTTGCTAAGACCTATATCGTAATAAAATGCAGTAATGAGACATATACACTGGAAAGAGATCTTGGAGTCTATGGAGCAAGAGATTCTACCGCGTGGACAGATTTGTATCAAATGTAATAGGAAAGAGAAGATCCACCGGTTATGGGTACGTATCGTACTTTGCAGATGAAATTCAGTCGGAAGATAAGTGACTTCCTAACTGATTGCGATGAATTTTAAGCAGAACATTGTCTGTACAACTGTGACTTTTTCTCGATCTCCGCCATGTTTCTTTCCATTTCCA